GTTTACTAGAAGATCTATAAATCAGTTTTGGTCAGAAAAATCCATGTGTTTCTTTAGTCTGTTAGCAATCAAATCTCATTTAAGTGAAGAAAAAAAAAACCTGATTTCAGATTAGAAAGTAATAACCATTTGTAAAGATTAAACAGTTCATAGTCTGAAGGAAACAAAACCTATGTATTATAATATTCAAGAAGCAAGTACTAATAGGTTTTCCGAAATGTTCTCTATGCATTTTTTAAAAAAATGTAAACTTGACATTTTAGGATCTTCAGTTATACATACACCTGTTATAAGGTGTTTAATATAGCTCAGGAAAGTGAGCATTTTGTGAGAAAAATGTAGGATATATCCATATCTAATGAAAAAGATTGGTTGAATGTTCTCATATGTTTCAAAGCTCTTTAAAAAAAGATGTATAAGTAATTGGAACTCTTAGAAAACTGATAAATGTCACACAGTGGTTATTATAGAAGGATAACACACAGAGCCAAGATCAAACTGAAAGGAAATAAGTGGAATATAAAAGGTAGACAGTATTTAGCTTTGTATAAATCTAGGTTTTTTCTGTAATCAGCTAAATCATATAAAGTTCTCTTGTGATATGTTACTATGTTTGTGGCACTTGAGGCATTGTATGTAAAGTAAGGAATGCTTTACCAGTTCTCTTTGGTTTTGCCTGTTTGCTTAAACTAGTTTTGAAGTATTTTACTATAATTGAAATGAAAAGCTTATCTACTTTTAAAAAGCCAAGCTGAAATAATTAAAGGTAGACTTTAAAATGTTTTATAAATTGTTTCCAAGAAAGAATATTAGTCTCCAGTGAATTTTAGTGATGGCCTATCTTTCCATTTTGGAATTATATTGTTAATATAACTAGAATTTTTTTAAAGGAGCACTAGTGTATAGTTGAGCATAAATAGAAAATATGAAAAAGGATATATTTAAGTTCATTACCTTATATTTGAGTAAACAGTGCTCAGTGAACTGGAAAATTTTAATAGAAAAATACAGTTTTGTGATTGTTAATTCGGTTAAACTAATATTTTATATTATTTAAGTTAGCATTTTATATTACTTTAATATGAATAAAGTTAATTCCATGCATTATAGACTCTGTATAAATACTAAATTTTGGGCTATATTTAGTATTTAGTTTTAGATACAATATAAATTTTGATTCTGGGTACTATAGTGTAGTAGATACTCCCCTCCTAAGAGAAATTAGAAGCCATTTACCCCTAATGAAATAATACATTAATGCTTGAAATGGCTCTTTTCAGTAGTGTGACTTTTAGAAAGTATTTTGACAATTAATGGAAGCTAACAATCTTTAAATAGATGACCTTCCTAAGAATGAAATAAAAATTATTTTCTATATAACTTATGCTTTTCAAAAGTGATATTTTGCCCTTTGGTCACATATAAATGAGAATAAAAAAGACTCACCTGGACTTGAAAGTTAAAAGCAATTATTGTAGTATTTCCCCCTCCACCTTACCAAATAGTAAAAAGCTTTGATTGTACAAGAAATACTTGTGCCTCGTGGATTTTTTTTTAACTTGGAAAATGCATTTGACACTACATGATTAGTTCTACTAACCAAAGCTTTATTTGAAAATTTACTTTTTGTACAAATTAAATTGTATAATGCTTGAAATACTTTGTCACTTTATAAGCAAAATGCATAGCACTTAATTTGTTTATACTCTAAAATATGTAAAATGCTTTTATCAATTTGAGAATAAAGATAGTTACTAATGTTGTTGTATTATTAAAAAAATTTTTCAGGGGCTGGGGTTGTGGCTTAGTGGTAGAGCACTTGCCTAGCATGTGTAAGGCACTGGGTTCGATTCTCAGCACCACATAAAAATAAATAAATAAAAGGTTCATCCACAACCAAAAATAAATATATTTTTTGAAACTAAGAAACCTTAAGAATTTTTTTTTCAAACCACTCAAATACATATACCTATTTCGATTTTAAAACTGGTTAAGCTTGGACTGTGGCTCAATTGTAAAATGCTTGCCCAGCATATGTAAGACCCTGAATTCAGTCCCCAGCACCTCAAAAAAATTACCCACAATTTATGGTTTAGTTTCAAATCTGTATTTGATAGAATATTTAACATTAAACACGTTATGGTAGATTGGCTTTTTTGAATTTACAATGTTAGGCACATGGAATATATTCTTGAAATAAGCTCTCATGCCTGTGAAATTTACCATGAAATGTAAATTTAGTTTTTACATTTGTACAAAAAAAAAAAAAGGTTAATTAAAAATATAGGCCTTTCTTCATTTAGAATGAGAACTTACAAAACCAACTTATAAATAGAATTCTTAGTCTTAAAGTGTCCTTGAACCTTGCTAGCCTTTTTAGAGAGAAATCTCTTTACATAAATCAGAATAGTTTTTAAACTATAGAAATTCTTTTCATCTCCTGTCTTAAATGGGCTTTAGAAAAAAACTCGATTTTTTCTGGTATTCTGGGCTGTTTTAAACATTATCAAGCCAATAGGCGTGATTGAAGATGAAATAATTTCCATTCTAAGAAAGCATTTTTGTACTTGTGATAGATCCCAGGTAATATGTGGGGCTGATTTAGATGTTACTGAGCAGTCGGGGAAAATCTAACATGCTAGCTGACACCCAGCTTTCCTTTAAAGAAGACATAAAGCCATTCCCTGCAAAGGTGAACTAAGGGATATTCCTTAGAATATCAGCTCAATAAATAATATCTTCTTTTTAAAATATTTTTTATTATTTTTTTAGGTGTAGATGGACACAACACAATGCCTTTATCTTTATTTTTCACAATGCTAGGTGAGCACTCTTCCGCTGAGCCACAATCCCAGCCCCTATATCTTCTTTTTTTATTTATTTTTAGTTGTAATTGGACACAATACCTTTATTTTGTTTGTTTATTTTTATGTGGTGCTGAGGGTCTAACCCAGGCCTCGCACATGCTAGGCAAGCACTCTACCACTGAACCACGACCCGAGCCTAACATCCTCTTTTAAACAGAAAGTCTAGAAAGGACAATTTCAAGAACAGAAAGCAACTTGGACAATAAAGGGTAAAGAAAATGCTAGAAACAAACCTGGCTAGCCCAAGTACTTTTTTGAACAGGGAAAAAAGCATGTGAGGTTTTAGCACATTGCTTTTAGTATAATTTCCCAATAATTTATTTTAAAAATAAAGTCATCTTAAAGGAAGTACTCCCTGATAATTCATCGTTTTATCAAAGTATTAAAAACAATAAAACTTCCTTAAGTTGTGATTTTTTTCTGATTTTTAAGAACCTAATATTAATTGAGGGTTTACAGTAGTTATTTTCACCTCTGGACTGTTTCACCTGAAACCATATTTAGATGGAACTTTATGAGTAAACTTACCTATAAGCCAGATTAATAAGTGAGGATACATTTATTCTATAGCTTTTATATTCACATCTCAATAAGACATTTCTCTTGGAGGAACTTTTGTACATTTGTTAACAAATTAACAGAAGTTACAATTGTATAGCAGCTCGAAGGGCAGCAAAATTAACAGCAAATTGTGCCCAGGCTTGTTCCCAGCTGCTATTTGAAAGCATGTTCTTAAATGATCTCTACTTAAAAGTTCTATTTCTTATATAATTTACATGACAGGTCTGATTAATTTTTTGGAAATAGTTACATGAATGCTTTCTGTGCTGTCACCACCTGAATCTATTATAGTACTTTCACAGAATTTCTTAATTGATTAATATCAGGAATAACAAAATATCTTGAATGTTTTTTAAACGTTACTATTAGAATCTTGCTTTAAAAGTCAAGGTCCATGTACAGAAGTCCTTGTTTGTTTCTGCTGTGGAGCCAAGCTCTGTGATTATATAACTTGGTATAAGACTCTTTGCTTGTCACTTCAGTGCAGTTCTAGAAATCCAAAATAACTTCTTATAGCAATTTTAAGATTTGTAGAAATTGGTGTTGCCCGAGTTAGCCAGTAGATGGTGATAATGTAAAGATCCAGTTTTCTTGTACATATTCTGAAGACAATTAGCACACGTTAAAAGGCAACATCATTAGGAATGGCTTAGGCACTAATTAATGTGAATGGATAGGCTGAAAGTGAGGCGGTGGAAGAAAGTTCTCTATATTTGAGGAAGTCTTTATGTAAACTCTGCAGTAGGCTGAATGGTTTAGTGCGGTGCTTCTCAAGGTATCTGTGGTGATGGGGTTTTCAAAAATGCAATAAAAATACTAGGTGAAAGAAATAAGAAAAAAACATACAAAATACAAGCCCCAGAGATTTTTTTTTATTAGATTAAATAGAAAAAATATCCATCAAACAGCTTTAAGAGTTTCTAAATGCTTCCTATCAATATCTGTACTTACATCTCCCCACAGACTAGTAATATTTGGTGGACAGGCACTGGTTCAAGGGCTACAGTTAAGAATATAACTGAAAAACAGACCTGAGTTCAAAATCTTGACTCCCTTACTACTAGTGAGGTAGCCATGGAAAGGAAGTTAACCTGTCTAAGCCCCAATTTTCTCATTTGGGTCAGGTAAGTAATATCAATGATTAGGCTTTTTATGAGAGCTTAGTGATAATGCACTAACCACCTCTCAGGAAGCACTCATGTGTTTGCTGAAACTGAATAATATAATTGGTGCATTTACATATTAAACAGATTGTTTTCTCCGATCATCACTCTATCAACTTACTGGTGTTTTTCATGAGCTAAAAAATAAATATACAGTTGAGCATAACATACTTAAAGAACCTTGAGTGTGTTTGATGGCCCTAATGCAAGCATAGCTACTTGAAGATCCTTCACAGAAACCTGTCCTCTCTCTGGGAAGTGCACCCACTTTCACTGCACTGATAACACCAGTGGGAGAAGGGAGATACTTTCACATGGCTGCAGCCATGTATCTGGCTGAAGAACTGCTGAAGTATTACAGTATCAGCTCAAAGTTTAGGTGATGGAAAACACTGACATGAAATCTACATTAGGCAAGATAAAGGATGATACTTTATTCTTTGATTAATCATTACAGATACAATTCATTGTGAACTTCCTACACCAGATATAAAGTGACTTCAATCTTTGTAACAATCCTGACATAATCTTTTATGATAATCATTTTAGAGAGAAGGAAACTAAGGGTTAGAAATGTTACTCTGCTTAAATCCAGAAATTTTGTTCTTGTAACACTGTATCATATCCGAAAGCACAACTACTCCAGCTTAGGTGGCTAAACAAATCTTTAAAGCCAGGTGAATGGAATGCAGCCAGATTATTATACCTGGTTGCAAAAGTTATAAAAGCTATAAAGTCAGTCTAAACTACCAAAAAGCACTTAAATGAAAAAATATCGTACCAAGAGAAGTAGCTCCCACCAAGAAAATGTCACTATTGAAAACAAAGAACCTACATACCTAATACGAGCCATAATTCTCAGTAGTAACAAAGGCTTGGAAATTGAAATCAAGACATTTAACATGCTCACTCTGGCCAACATAATAAGGGTTTCAGCTTTTTCTCAAAAAGTTCTGAAATGTTAATGTGCTGCAAATCTGCCAATATACAGTTTACCTTTCCGCCTCAAGGAAGAAAGGCTAACAAACCCACAAATGTAAAAATCACACCTTGAAAAAGTGATATGCTAGTGGTTGGAGGGAAAAAATGAGTAGTAGAGTTAAGGTTCTATAAACCAGTGAATGTTTTCTGTCTGTCAGGTAAAGGGATTTCTTCATATGTGATTTTAATAAAAGGGAATTTCATAGGTAAAAACCAATATTCAAAATTATAAAACAAATAGAAACATCTATGCATAATCACTGAGTCAAAAATTTGCAACAGACTCAACAGAAATTCTTTAGTTGATAAATGTGGTTTGAAGGGGTAATAAAATGTTTTTATGGCTGAAGCAAGAGTCTTGTTTCCTGTTGGCCCAAAAATAGATGTTTCATTTCCCAAATAAGTAGGTTCTCCACTGTAAAGAAATATTCTTGTATAGTTGGTTTCTATCTTCTTGAACTCTGCTCCAAATTCAGCCAACTTTTCATATGTCCTTAACACAAACTTTGAACAGTCATAGGATTCAAACCACGTCTCTGCTCCTTTTATAGGGCTGGCTTGGACAGTCCATGTTTCATAATAAATTCCTGTTTCATTGTCCTGTTTCACCCACTTTGCCATTTTGTTAAATGTGCTTCCTAGTTAAAAAAGCAAAAGAACAGTATGTGAACATCAAAGCTAATGACGTTTTAAGTTAACAAGTTCTAACCTAAGATCATGGATACACACAAGTAACAGATTTTTTTTTTTTAACTTCCAAAGCTGAATCTGTCAACAGGAATGTAATCTCAGCCAATTTTTATTCCATTCTTCAAGCCATGGCTATATTATAAACATTAGATATAATATGCATATAAAGAGTCTTATTATTTGTATAATCATTTAAGCTATAGTCAAGATTAAACAAATGCAGCAGCTCTATTTCTTTACCTTACTCAACAAACCTGAGAGAGGCAAAAGAGAAAAAGGAAGCAAGGAAGGAACTATGGAAGAGGAGAAGGAGAATGGGTAAAAGAGAGTGTAAGAAAAACTGAGATGGGGAAAAGGCTGAACTTTAGTGTTACAAAGCATGGCATGCACAGAGCATGAATAGTTGCCTGAGAAGCAACTGTTGGAGAAGGCTGGCCTGCTAGTTAAGAGAAGCACCCACCTTCAATATTTGGTACTTCCCTTTTCTTCCTGTATATATAGGTGATAGGAAGCTACTGATGGCCTCCCCACTACCATGCAAATTCTTCCCATGAATCAACTGAACTGGAAATGGTTTTGGCCAACTTCATAAACTACAGAGTCACCAGGATGGTTAACCTTCTCTCCTGCCAACACTTTGTACCTGACAAGAAGAATCTTTACAAATATTTAAAAAATACTGCAATCTGCATGGGCATAACCATTATCTGGGCATTTATAATGCCCAATAAAACTGGGCCCCAATATTTCACTTTGTCGCTGTTTGCAAACCTTTCTTTGCTTATTCAGACTTGAGACCACAAAATAAATACTTCATGCTCTGTAAAACAGAGTGGTTGCCTTTATCAATTTCACAGAGTCAAAACTATGGGGTAATAGAAAGCCTGTTTTCTTAGAACTGGGGACACTGTTCTTAAGTTCAAAAAGCCATCACTGTACCTAAGAACTAAGCCACTGCTGTGTTGCAAAACACTGTTTTGTAACATGAAGAAAAGGTTACAGAAAGCATTAATTACAAGACAGATGGACAACTTAAAAGTCTTAAGTAACAGCACACAACAAACATTACAGAGAAGAGTAGTCACATGTTCAAATGATCAAGTTATGTCAGAAGGGAAATCTTCAGATAATGAAGTAGGTGGAAATGGAGAAAGGAGAGATGTGAACTGGCTTGGAATGAAACAGCAACTATAAACAAAGTTTTGCTAAGAGATGCACTTTCATAATGTTAGAATGGTTTGGGATATATCAATTAGAAAGGAGGAGGAAGGACTAGAAAATAGCATAATGTTTTTAGTTCATGACCTTGAGAGACAGGTAGGTCAACCATTGCTTGGTTCAGCCTCAATTCCTTATTTGTGAAAGGACAAAGGATGTTTTACCTTTCCCACCAAATTATAGGTCAATGCACCTTAAAATGATTTGTAAAAAAGCTATGTAAGTAGAAAGCCTGATCATTTCCCCAGTCCTTGGATCCACTGAATAATTATTATCACAAACAGTGCTTTCATTTCAGATGTTTCCACTTTTAGGGGAAACAGCAGTTTAGGATATAGTCCTCTATAAGTGCTCTGGGTGAGCCCTTATTTCTAAAATGCAATGGTAGCATTTGATGTGGGAAGCAATGGGAAAACATGGTAAACTGTGACCCAATGTCACCTAATGAAACACTGATAAGGTTCTGCTGAATTCCTTTTACCACTAACCCACAATGCAACACATGAAAGATTCCAACATTTCCCAAAAGAATAGAAAATCACAGAGATAAAATATTTAAATTGCTTAAGAGTGCCTCAAATTTATAAGATCATATACATTTGGGGAGGCAAGTACCAAAGTTAAGAGAATGGTTTATGGGCTGGAGGGCTGGCAGGGCTGGAGCCCCACTTAGCTGTAAAACTTTAACCTATCCGTGCCTCAGTTTCCCCATCTGTACAATGAGGGAAATAATATCTCTATAATGGGATTGTTGTGTTGATAAATGATGTACATGTACAGCACTCAGAATAGGGCCAGGCCCAGAGTAAGTCCATGTGATTAATAGCTATTATTATTTCTCAACATAAAGATGATATCTTTAAAAAAATATTATTTTAGTTGTAGTTGGACAGAATATCTTTATTTATTTTTATGTGGTGCTGAGGATTGAACCCAGCACCTTGCACATGCTAGGCCAGCACTCTACTGTAGAGCCACAACCCCAGCCCCTCAAGATGGTATTTTAATTTATCGTCACTAAAAATTTTTTTCAGGCACAGCCAATTGGTTCTTCAATCAGGCAAGTATGGGTTCCCTTTTCCTCCTATTTTATTTAGAAAGTCTAATTTAATTGTACAAAGTGGTTCTTTTCATTCATTGTTTAACATGGAATAGAGCCAAAGATAAGCTACTCATTATCTATTGGTGAAGTTCTGCACAAGTACTAGTTTGGGTCAAAGTGTAGTGGTTCTATAAGTACATTTTTCAAATGACCTCTAAGAAGTAGAACATTACTGAAATGCCTCAATGGAAGTAATTCCTTTCATTTGGATATTGATGCAATCCTCAAATACCGCCACAGTTTTGAAACGTACCTGATATGGTTGCTACTAAAATTAATGTCCCATTTTCCTTCCAATGGACATCATCAATTCCTTCAAAAAAGCAGGCAGCTCCTTGATTACACCAGAAAGGGGCATTCATTTCAGGCCGCAGATGGGGAAATGTACAGTTGCCAAGCTGGAAAAGTTCATACCATTCCATTGTGTAGTTCTTGCCAGTTAATGTACTCTTGAATCCAATGGCATCATGCATAATTTTCTGTGTAAAGATATGAACTTATGAGAGCAACTGTTAAGTGGCCATGGGTCCAGGTAACCTGATGCGCAACAACATGGTGAACCACTGTGCATACCAAGAAGGACAACTGTTTGTCCAGAGATCCCTTTTGGTGTCGCTATTCTTGTGTCCACTCTGTGGCCCCTTAAACTCCAGCCCTCATCCACTCTGGGTTTGGCCATGGCTTCTCATCTCAGGTAGTAGGGGTGCATGCTGTCATCACACTCATAATTTTCTTACAGCTTAGAGTAAGTACAAGACACCCCCACGCCACAGCCTCAGAAAGGAACTCCACCCATATCTCAGGGTGATGATGTGCTAACCTGGAAACATCCCCACAATAGGACCTAGAAATCAAGAGGTTTCTACTGCCTGCCCTTTCCCTTCTTCTGGGATTCCTACCTTCTCATTTTGCAGGAGCTGGGTAGAGAAGTTGCATTCAGAGTCATTACATTAAAAGGGATTCAAGCATGTGCATTTGTTACTGTCAGGGTTATAAAATCTGATCATAACTATTTGACAACTCATTTTAAATACTGTTGGGAGGCACATCAATGAATTTGTGGTTAAAAAAAAAGCAGCCACTAGAATAGTGACTATTCCAATTGATTTAATAACTAAAGCATTTAATCAACCAAAGTTACAAGATCAGGGTGCATCCTTACCAAATGTCCCAGGAGGTCTCCATATTTAAATTCCCACACTGGAGCTTGTAATCGAAAGACTTCAATGACATCCTCACTCTTCATAACTGGGATTGGTGAGCCAGTGGGACAGAAAGTGTACTTAGCTTGACAATAAGGGTCTGGTTCTGGACGGAAGGAAAAGCGTCTAATAAAAGAGAAACCGTAAACAGATTTTAACAGGAATTTAGTTGTTCTCATACATGTTAGAGTCCAGTTTTTCATTTCAGTGTCAGTAACATTTAAGGAAACACATTCAAAGATTTGACCATACTGAATAAATATAAACATATATTTTACTTGTTACCTATGAACAAACTTATGATTTCTTTTATTTATTTATTTATTTGTTTGTTTGTTTGCTGGTGCTAGGAACTGGCTGAGTCGCTCAGGGCATGCTAAGTTGCTGAGCCTGGCCTTGAACTAGTGACCCTCCTGAGCTCCTGAGCCACTGGGAATTTAGGTGTGAGCTACCATGCCCAGCTTTTCTTTTTTGCAGTGTTGGGAATCAATCCCAGGGCCTCACACATGCCAGGCAGACACCCACTGAGCCACATCCCCAATCCAACAATGATGCCTTTAATAGCAAGTAAAACAGAATATGTGCTATATTTACTTAATAATTAATCAACATTCGTTCAAAAACATTTGCTGAGGGTCTAAAACATGCAGGGCTCTACTAGGAAGAAAGGAAACAAAGCAGAGTCTTGGGTGGGAGCTAGGAAGACATTAAACTCTCAGCCATGAGGGTGCACGGGGGCAAGTCCTAAACTAAGGAAATAAAGTCCTATGGTGGAGGATGGGGAGAGAATGGGGAGGACAAAGAAGGAGATATGGACCTGGCCTTGGTTTCCATGTACTTACTAAGACAATGTGGACAGAAAAGGAGAGAAAACATTAGGTAATATTATCCAACCATACACAGTAGAAGGATCTCCAGAAGGTTCAGTCTTCAAGGCAGTAGTGGGAAGAGGAGAGGTAGGCAGGGGTTGTCATTCTGTCACTAGGAAAGTATGAACAGCAGCAGCCCCTAGAGCCCTGCAACTGACAGAACTAAGCCCCCAAGTGAGTATAAAGTAGTAGATTTGATAGGGCCGAAGATGCCCTAATATAAACCTTATTTCAATGAATTATAAGAGGGTCAGGAAAGGCCAAATTAAGGCTGAGAGATCAGTCAGGAGGAGCCTGCAATAATTCAAGAAAACAAAATAGACCTGAGAAAGCCCAGCATCAGACCAGGCTCCAGCTAGCTGAACTTAGCCAGACAGATGCTGGTCACCTTCTATACTTGGCACTCAAAGAATCAAGAATAAGAAATGCCCTCTAACTCCTAAGAATCCTGATTCCCAAAAGTTCTAGTCTGATGTATTTTGTTACAATCCTAGCAGATGAACACAAATTCTATTTTAGTTTAGGTACTTAACTGGTTTAAACAAACATATAATTATTCACGTTAAAATTTATTTTAGATCAAAGATAATTTAAAAAGTAAACTGAAGTATGAATTTAATAAAGGCAATAATATATTCAACTGGGATCATTGAATAGGAAACAAGCACTTAATTATTGAAACTTTAAAGAAACATTGAAGAAGTCATAGACAACATGTTGCCCTAATACTAAATCATAGTTTGGGATTATATTCTCTTCCTTGTTTTGTTGAAAACTTAATTTTTATTTCATGTAACATTGTATTAATATTTTCAAGAAAATCAGCTTTAACTCTCCTATGGTTTGGATATGAGGGTTTTCTCAAATGTTCCTATTACCAAGGGAGGGAAGGGGAAACACTGAGGCATGTATTTTCCAAATTATTTTGTTGTGTGCACATACAAATATGTATCTACAAATCCCACCAGTATGTATAGATACAATGCACCAAAAAAATGTGGGGAAAAGGTTCCTATTAACACAGGAATGTTCAGAGGTGGAATGATTAGATTATGTGAACTGTAACCTATCAGTCCATCCTAGTTTTAAGGTATGTGGTGGTAACTATAGGTAGGTGGGGCATGGCTGCAGAAGACTGGTCTCTGAGGCATGCCCTGGAACAGCATCTTCCCTGCAATCCCTTTCCCACTTCCCTCTCTCTGCTTCATAACCCTGCCATGAGGGTGAGCTGCTTTCCTCTGCTAGGCCCTTCCTCCATGATGAGCTCCCTCATTATGGGCCCAGAATGCAGCTGGCCTTTGGACTGAGACCTTCCAAACAAAGAGCCCCAAATAAACTCTTCCCCTTCTAAGTTGCTCTTGTAGGGTCTTTTGGTCACAATGATCAATAGCTAACTAAAACAAACCCCAAGCCTCTTTTCACATATATCAAGCAAAAGCATTCATTCCACTCACAGAATATATGAATGTTTAGGCTTGAAACTACTGGTATTTAGTAGAGTAAATCTTGCCAAAACACTAAGGTAAGTGCTAACCACCATCCTATTTTCTGCATTCTCTATGTGCCCACAGAGAAACTGGATAACTTTACAGTTGGTGATCTGGTGAAGCCAGAATTGATCCCCAGAAGTCAGAATCTAGAACTCTGCTCCTGATCATGAGGCTGTGAGGTTATCCTGCATCTGATTCATCAGTTTGTCATGCAAAACTGTGTGTGTATTCAAATGTTGCTGGTCCTTCCCCTGCCAGATGCTGACATCCATGTTTTCTTTTTCTGTCCATAGCTGTTTACCAGTCTTAGGCTGTATGAACACTGCTCTAGGTCAAAGTCTCCAAATCAGGTTTGCGGGTCTCGATTTATGACCAGCATCCTACCTCCAGCATGATGAACGTGGCAAATTAAGCGACCAACCTTCCCAGTTTGGGACTACCTGGGACTCAGGGCGGAGATAACCCAGATTTGGGTATTTAAAACTGCAAAATCCGGGGAATACCTGGGCAAGTTGTTCAACCTCTAAATTATGTCAAATGTTATGCAGTACTAATGACAGAGCGTGAAACAAGTAATAAATGCAATATGCAAAATGCTTTAAACTTTTTAAGCAGTTAAATAAGTTAAATAAAAGCAGTAACTAGAATCTACAAGTCACTCGATAAAGTAACATTGCTCCCTGATTCTTCTACAATTGAGACTGCTCCAGTTCTGGCTCCCACGTCCAAGAGGGAGAAGGGCCCCAGGGGCCGCGAGCAAAGGGCGACTGAGACACTCCACTCCTTAACTTTGTTCTAATGACGCCTCCGCGCCGCCGGGTAAGCCGGACCCAACTCCCGCGCGGGGTTCCAGCCCTTGAGCACCCGACGCGCTCTACCCCTGTCACCAGCCCAGCCGTGCGCGCGCCCCAGGGACCGCGCGTCCCTGCCAGCGCGCGCCGTCGTACTCACTTGTAGGGCACCGGCCAGTGGCGGCGGGAGAGGCCGCCAGAGGCCCGCGGCCAACTCAACGCCGCCGTCAGCCCGAGCAGCGCCAGCGCCCAGCGCCGAGGCGCGCGCCCCGGGGCCTCTCCCTGCGCTTCCCAGGCCCCCAGCCTGGCGCCCTCGGTCAGCGCCATAAGGCGGCTCGAGCGCTTCCGGCGCCTCCCCAGCCGACGGCCGCGGAGACCTGTCGGGCGAGCATGCGCGGAGCTGCGAACCCCGACTCCGGCCGCCCACCGCCTCGGCCAGGCTGCGCAAGTCCTGGGCGCGAGATGCCTCGGAGCGCAGGACGCTCTCCCAGCGAAGCGCCGACGACTAGACCCGGCCAGGTTCCTGTCCTCCCCTGAGCCCTAAGTGGTGGTGGCTTCCAGACTTTGCTGGTCGGGAATGCGCTTTGGTCCCGCCCCTAGGAGAATTCCGCCCAGGCCTCGGGGCCTCCAGTTTTAATCATTGATCAGTAATACGCAATTGTTTTGGCCACCAAGCAAACATCCGGCTTGGCTTCTGATGTCCTGAGCGTCCTATGCCATTAACGTAGACCAGGCTCATTTGTGTCTTTCCACAATGACAGGACTTATTGAATAAGATTAATTCACAAGCTACATAAGTTTCATTGCTACATCGGTTTCATTGACTTTAATTCACCGAGATACTCTGTGTCCACTAGTGTTGTGACTGAGACAATGTCTCACAAGTTTTTACTTTTTTTTTTCCTTGTGGTACTGGGAATTAAACCCGGAGCCTTGTGTAAGGCAAGGCAAGCATTCTATCATCAACTGAGCTATATCCCCAGCCCACAAGTTCTTTTATTTTATCCCCATCTTAATTACTAACATCTTTAACGCGCAAGTCACACTTAATACTTTGGCTTAGTGATGTGAGATATGTGTGTGTGTGTGTGTGTGTGTGTGTATACACACACACATAATATATATTACATTCTAGCAAGAGTTAAGGTAGTTGGCAGGATTTCAAGAAGCTTGCCAAGAGCGAAGGCAGAGAGCAGATACAAGTGCAAAGAGTCACTGAAGGAAGCCAGAAATGGATATTTAAGGAAACAATTTGAAGAGTTGAGGGTAGGGTCCAAAAAGCAGACATTTTCACAGAGTAGCTTAAAGTGGGCTTTGTGTCATCATGGGCATGAGAAACCGCCCTGAGCAGAGACAGAGAATGGGAAATTTTCTGGCCAATTTTTCTGGCCAAGGTTAGTGACCATTCACCAGGCAATGAGATCTGTATGCTGCCAGTCCAGTCTTGGGATTCTTTGGTGATTGTGGGTTGTAAGTGAAGGGGTTATGTAAAGTGACATTGCTAAACTCATGAGTCTGGTGTTCATGATATGATTTGATATGCTCAAGTATCCACATGCTTCTGATTTAATTTGATGTCAACTTTTTATTGACATAAATAGATTATTCATCAATTTGTGCCTATGGTTGTGCTGGGCAGATTGTGTGGTTTTGTGGTGGCATCCCCCCTCTTCCACAGAAAATCTTAATTAAGCTTCTCCAGAGACCTCACCATTATTGTTCATAATTGATTTTGGACTCTCAATAAAATTTCTGCAAAAGAATTTTCAGGTGGGGGATATGCCTGCAGAGGCAGAGAGTGATAAGAAAGACTAACCCAAGGCCTTCACAGAGGCTTTTGCATTTCAGAGTTAGGTTCTTGAAAGCCAGCTGGTGGGAGAAAGAAAGAAAAACAAAACAGAACAAAAAACAAGCAAACAAACAAACAAAAAAACTCTCTTTCTCAGACACTGAGTTTTCACAGAGCATCCTTGGGGTTATTTTTCTAAAACTTGGAAGCTGGGAGTCAAGAAGAGTAAAAAAAAACAAAATAAAACAAACAAAAAAAAAAAACACTTACTGTTATGTGAACTTCTGCAGATTGTGAACCTCTGAGTCCCTGCCCTTACACACTGGGTATAAAGTTCTAAAACTTCCTGAACTCGGGGGATTGATTGCTTATGGTGAAAGTTTTTTCCCTCTGAACCTGAATGCAGCCAGTAAATCTGCTTCCTGCTACTTCCTTGATGTCTAGCTTCATCTGTCCTCCAACATTTTATTTGCAAAAACAAGGTGTAGAGTCATTTTACCTTGGCACTTGTACTCAAAATGTGGAAACTCATGGCATACTAAGGCTTTATAAAATGGAGTAAATCAGGGCAAGGCGCAGCCTGGAAACAGCTGTTCTTTACATCATGGAATAACTCAGAGCAGGGAACAGCCTGTGCTCTATATCTGGGCTTCTCCTTTGGAGTCCCCTACACCTAACACTTACCTGGGTGCCCAAAGCCCTGACTAGATGCCAACAATATTTCAGTGTATGAGAATTTTTATTTGGAGGCAGTGGGTGCAAGAAAGCTTGAGGATAATAATGGGGAAATAATTTGCCCTCACTGGGCTGGAGCCAGTGAAAACAATGGTCAACACAAACGATATGTAGTTTGTGTTATCATCTATGCAATGGAATATGTTCTATTGTATTGGATCTACCACTTTATTTGGAAGAAAATGTTACATTGCCTTCTTATCTTTAATCCTTCAACCTGTTCCCCAGGAAACAATGGCATCAACTGCCCTGCTTCTGATGAAACACACTGTCCATGAATGCTGACTTAACCGTATGCTAAAGGGCCTCACCACATGGTCACCTGTTGAACCACAGGGCAGTCTGCAGAACCCTCAGACCAGTACTTTACAACTCCTTCACTTCACCCATGACACATGGGATCCATAGTATTTGTCAACATATTGGAAAATCAAAGTGGTTTTTGTGGTCAGAGATAACCACCATAACCCAAGTGGGGTATGTATGTGTGTGTGGTGGAGGAGAGGAGGTGTTACTGGCTTCCTCAGGTTTGCCAGACCTGAGGGTAGATAGGAATCAGCTTTCACCCCCCAAAACACACACACGAACACACTTGTGACCTTGTCTACATGCTACACAGGGTTGTAGAGTTCTAAGGAGCTTCAGGCAGGGTCCCAATATAACAGTGATCTACTTTATGCTTTGAATATAACCTTTGCTGCTCTTATTTTTTAAATGGACAAGTTTCTTTCTCTTCCTCTCTCCCTGCTCCTTCCTAATCTGTCCCACTCCCTAATAGGATTACCTTTCTTCCCCACTCTTCCCCAGAGTTATCTGTCCCTGAGTGCACACCCACCTTAGGAATGAAGTAATCCAGACTTTGGGGATGACACCAGAAGATCTCAGAAATGACCATCTCCCAAATTAACAAGTGAATTATAACTCTAGACAGAACACACCTGGAATGTCGCCTTTAAGTCACCTCTTTAAAAGCCCCCTCTTTCTGCTGATGGGCAGAATCGCAGCCCTTGGGACAGGAGTCCCCTGTGTCTCTCCTTTGCAAGCAAAGCAATAAACCTTTTTCCTTTTCCTCAAAACTGTGTCCTCGTTATTGGATTGACATTGAGGACAAGGACTGAGCATTCGGCAACATCATCTCACATTCATTTGTCTAAGCGTTTACATGACTCTCCTACTTCTTCTCTATATACTACCACCCACTTCAAAATGACCAGAGCTAAACTGGCTTCTCTAAAGATACACCCAAGATGAGAGGGGGAAAGCATGCTAGCCACGAAAGCTGAAACAGAATGTCTGATTTGAATAGCACCCACAGGATTCTGTGGGTCTGCTCTTGAACAGTGGCTTTAAAACCATTCAAAATCATAGTAGAGGCTTTCGAGTCAATAGAACCAAACACCAGAGAGCCACCGCAGAACTTACTATCTGTGCCAAGACAGTCCAGAGCTAAAAAAAAAAAAAAAATGTTGAGCTTGACCTTGGTAAGAGGTAAGGGTGACCCCTTTGGCATCTGCAATCCCCACCAGGTACAGGGAGTTGTCATGTAAGAATGTACCCTCATGTGAGCCCTTTCAGTCCAACCCCTCAGCTCTGATCTGTTTCTGTTCTCTGTAGCAACTTGAATAAGACCCTATTCCTCTTGGTTATGACCCCACACACACCCAGTTTGTAGACCATTATTGCCTGATCCTTCTTCATATTGGTTACTTCCCTCTAATCCTTGTCTTGTAAGGCTTTAGAACCCACAGATAGAACTGAATTTTAATCTAAGTGGTTTTCCTCAGGTCCTTGTCCAGTTTGCCACATAACGGGAACACTTCTGTCTGATAAAAGTCAGGTTTCGTAGGAAATGTAAGAGACTGCACACCAGAGGGACCACAAAACATCTCCATGAACAAATGTCAAGGAATGTTATTATAGGATCTGGGGAAGAATGGAATTGAAAATTTAAATGAGCAATGTTTTGGCAGGCTCAAAGCAAAGCAAGGATATGTGTCAGTACACTGGAGTAAGGGCTGTGGATGTGTAGCTCAGTGGTAAAGCACATGCCTGGCATGTGTGAGGCCCTCAGTTCAGTCCCTAGTAGGGCAAAACAAAAACAAACAAACAAACAAACAAAAAACAAAAGCTGAAAATAGAACTTACAAATAGTTGGTGGTCATAGTGGTAGAGGAAGTATTTCATGGCTGAGCTACATCTCTAGCCCTTACTTCCTTACAGCTTTGAGTGTCAAGACTACAAAGTGGACCCAGAGTACTATTTCCTTGTAACTCTAAAGTTAAAATAAAGATTGAATTTCCTGTTCAGAAACTCCTATCAGAAGCTTTGCATCTACCTGGGTTGATTCTCTGAGATTCTCCAGGCAATGGTGGAATATTTCACTCCTACTGATATAAATTCAAACAGGAAAGTCTCTGAATCTGTAATTTTAGACAACAAAATTTCTCAGTGAATAAGAAGAAACTAGGAGGTTGTCATGACACTTTACTGACAGGTCGGTTTGAGGTGGCTTAGGAACAAAGCACCAAGGAACCCACACGCAAGAATCAATGGTCAGGTGCCAGCAGAACCACCTGTCAATCAGCGGGGTCTTCTGACCAATCCTGGATTTCAGCAAGCTCCTCTGACCAACCCCAGTGGGATAAGGGACTCTAAAAACCTCCCCTTTCCTGTCCCAAGCCCTCCCTTCCTGACCTAAGCACAATAAACATTCCAGTCTGGCTGAGCCCCATGCTTCTCCCCATCACCCTGTTGGTCTGGAGGTCTCTACTGGGAGCAAATCTCAATAAAGCCTCCTTCAGCAGCCCTTTTAATCTGCCTCCTTTTGGTCACTGCTGCCTGACCTTACATTCACAACTTACCATGGTTTGAGAGAAATGTTGTTTTTCTGATAATTTTGAGACTTACTTTATCTTTTATTTCAGGCTGATGAATAATAGGGCAGATTTTTAAAGTTCAAGCTAATTTGTACTTGTTTCACTTATAATTCCATGGGCATTATAAACCATTATTCTGGGAAAAGGCTTCACCCAAGTTGCC